TTAAATTGTTGTAACTTTTGAACGGTTCGACTACAAACGAAACGAAAATCACTACAAACAACTACAAACGATTTAGAAACGTCACCCGCTTGCAGATTTGAGATATCTCAAAGTGGGGTGCTACTCATTTTTTTAAATTTCTATAATTTTTAATGGATGGAACTACAAACGAAATTATTGTTACTACAAACAACTACAAACAAAATGCTAACTTTTTACGTAGAAAAAAATTATTTTTTCAAAAGTCGGGTGCCAGGTTCACATAGCTTAATCTCGAACCGTGGAATCGCGTGATCATGTCGTTCGCGGTGCTCTATCTCCGAGTAAATATCTCGTTCCGATAAGTGTAATGGCCCGTACGATTTCGCGTAAATCTCGCGATTAAGAACGCGAGTCGAAATTTGGACCTTACTTTCGATTTCGATATTCAATTATTCCGCCTATTTTGATATCTTAAAGCTATCAACTTTTTCTGACTTATTTTTAATTGCTCAATCTAACTTTGCTGAGAGATCCTCTTTAGTACTTACAAATGACATTCTATGCGTTTTTCGCCACTTAGAGACGCTAAGAATATTTGAGTTTCCATGCATATCACACGTACATTGATCCTTCAGACTCAGGTATATATAGGTGTCAGAAAGTCCAGGTCTAAAAATTTCGACTCGGATTGTGCGCTTTTATCGCGAACGTTGCGGTTTTTACGGTCGGCGCTTCGTACCCGAAATGTCGTAATGAAACCGACTATCACGTTGTTACGAGTGTCGTCGGACACGACATCTCGACGACGGGGGGGCTCTCGGGAGATTTACAGCCGACTCTCCGGCTCACTTCTCATTTTCTTGGCAAAATGTTTTCGTTCTGCAACATTATATATTTTACGTAACTAAGCCTTGAATTAGAATCTGGCCGCGGTTTGTTGCCATATGTGCGCGTCCCTTGTGTTTACGAATATTAATCTAAGGTTGCATTTCGAAATTCACTGCCAGTACTGAAAATCTATAGTTTATGTCACGTATACTATAGAATTTCAGCACTGGCAGTGAACGCAGCCTAAGAATTCCCTTCGTTCGAAATTGTTTATAATTGGCGGGAAAGTAATAATCAATCAAGTGATCTTCATACTTCCTATGTGTCATCGAGAACTTAACGAGGTTGCGATACTCGTACACGAAAAGAATATTATATTTTCTTTTCATATAAGTTTTTTTCAATATTACTATGTTTTTAGAATTCCAGGAATAAGTTGTCAGTAAAGTTTATTTTGCTAAGAAATAAAGTAAATTTTGCTAGAAACATAGCAAAAATAGCAATAGTATATTTCAATTTTTAAAAATATACACTGAGAGAAAAATGCTTAAAAATTTATTTGTGGAATATAAAATTCATCTACAAAAATAAACTTCATTTCACAGAAATAAACTTTATATCCCAAAAATAAGTTTTCCAATATTCTTTTTTCCATGCCAGTAACATGTATAAAATAAAAGGATAGCGAATTATTGCAGAATAACAATCTATTCTGCAATTACAAAATTCTGTAGAAATTTTTACTATAAAGTTCTCTCTGTGTATCAGGATAAATGTCCCGAATGAAAACGATTCATGACAATGTTCCAAGAGAAAATCCGGCGCGACGGGATTAAAACGGGCGCTCGGAAACGTCGATATTTTACGGTGATAAATAATCGTGACCGGCGGCAGGAGCGGGTTAATCGCCGTAATAGGAGAGCACAGAAAATTGACAGGTCACCGCATGGTCCACGGCCGCTCTTATTTGCGCGCTGATTAAATACCCCGAGCTTAATCGCTCGAGCGCGAGTCTAGCGAGAGTTCGAGGCTTCCCGGACGACAGGCGCCGTTGTTGCAATCAAGGTCGCGACTTCCGCGTGTGACTTCTAATTATTTCACTTCTTCGCGATATTCCAGAATAGACTGATTCACGAGCGAGAGTAACACGCGCGTTTCCGTTGCGTGTCGAGCACGCGAGCAGCACACGCCGCAATACATCATGAGCGCGGTGAATGATACGAACACGGAGCGAGTGTAATGATCTCGGCTGGCGAAGATGGAAAGGTGAACGGCGAATCGAGCGTCACAGGTATTTTCCTGCGGCCGACGAGACGATGGCGACGATGTTGTTCGTGTGAAACGCAATATCGACGATAATGAACACCTTCTCGGCGTGCTATTGTAGCCGCGGGAAATGTACTCGAGTCGAGTCATCCGAGTTCTCATACATTATCTCTTGTCGCAAATGTTTACTGTTGCGAACAAAGAATGACGAAAGAATAGCGGGAAGGCTGTCGCCTAACACCGATTGCGACGCGTGAAAGGTTTACCTGACCTCAGCGGTTTAAAAACATTATCTGACATCTCGGAACACGCGTCCTTTCTCTCTCACTCACGCTTACTCGCTCGTATACAAACCTACACACGCGTAAACAGCTGACGAAAATAATGGTAGACACGGGTTCCACATACTAACCAAAGCTAGAGTAATCTTGGAAATTACTTGTCCAATATCCGTTGTTGCGTCTGTTAAAGTTATTACGATGGTTAAAGTTTATCGACAATGTGATGACGCTTCGGAAGACAATACGGCGAGACTGGCATTTTACGGTAATTAAGTATCCGACTAATGATTACTTCGTCCGGAGCCGGCTTAATTATGATAAATAAGAACCCGTCCAAGGAGAGATGAATGCGAAAGACGCGGAGAACGCTGAGACAAAGGCAAGAGAGAGCGGCTCTAGAGCGTTGCTTTTCGCCCCGAGTCGGTTGAATCGCGCGGCGGATAAGCGAGCAAACGAGCGGACGAGAAAGGAAGGAAGGAAGGAAGAAAAGCGGAGCTGGTCCAGCCAAGTCGGCCAGCCAGCCAGCGTGAAACGTAAAATGATTGTATATCATCTCTCACTCACCTAACCTAACCTTCCAGAGTGATGGTCCTGCGGCCGGGATGTGCGGCGTGTCTCCGCCAAGGTTGCTGCTGCCGCCCGGGGATGAGGACGCGCGTCCTTGGACGCGCGCAATGCACGATGCACGTAGCGAAAGGCATGCACGAGTTACGCGACGGCGGGGACATCAATGGGTAGGGGTAGTAGGAGAGTCGCGTAATTAACGGTACGTCTTGACTATGTTGGGAGAGGAGAGATGAGAGTGAGAGAGAAAGAAAATGAGAAGGTAGGAGAAAGGGTTAGGGGGAGGGAGGGTGGATGGGTGGTAGGGAGAGAGAAAGAGAGTGAGAACACGGGGGAGACACAAATTATCGCGCCCACGCACTGTGCCGATCTGGAGTGACACCGCCTCGACACGCTCCGCCTCGGTGCGCCCGTTACCGTGGCGATCGGGTCAACTCCGCCGTCAATACACGAGATACTGAGAGAGAAAGACGAGTTTGAGTTTCGCTCTCCCCCTCTCTCTCTCTTTCTTTCCCGTTCACTACCGCGAACCTTCGCGCGTACACCGCATCTCTCGAAGCTGGCCGCGGCCGTACTGCGCGTGTCTGCCGTACGCTTCGCGCTGGAGCCGCGTGCGTGCACCGCCGGTGGCGCCATCGGGCGGCGCTTGATGGAACTTCATCTCGAAACAGATGGTTAGGCAGATTCTAGGTGCGAAAATTATGAAATTATCTTTTCAAATTTTCTCAGATGTAAAAATATGCTTAGTGGGTATAATAATATGAAATATTAATATCGTAACATCTGTATCAAATAGATAAGAGCGATCAACTATGTTAATTAGTAATTTTCTTGCAAATAATGTAAGTATAAAAAAATTGAGATTATTTATGAGATCTATATACTATGTGTTATACTATGTGTGACCTCTTCATGTCACAAATGTAATTTCTATAATTTGTCAAAAATGTTGAACTATTTACAACTTTTAAAAGTTGTTTGCAAATATGATACATTACAATTCACACTAAGAAAGCGTAAACTTTTCTCTTTAATTTACATACTAGTGCTATGTGAGGTTTTCTCGTAGAGTTATTCAATGTTGAAACAATGAGTCCTTTCAGCTTTGTTCAACGACAAAGGACGAATCCGCGTTAAATGATCGTCAAAAAGTGAGTAGAAAGCATAATTCCTTCTCTTTAGAATGCAAATGTGACATTTTTTAACAGAAAAGTAAGTTTCCAATCCGAAGATTCGACTGAAAAGTAAGGTTACGAATTAAACGATTGTCATCTCACATTCCACTCCGTATATACTTAGTGCAAATCAACAGTAATAAACTTGACATACCTTAAAATTAGACGTTTCAAGTTGAAAAATATTTCTCGCACCATCTTGTTTTTGTAATATCTACTGAAATTATAGTCCGCTGAATACTGCATAATTTCCGTGACCGAATAGCCGTAACAGGTCAAGGAAAGAATGTTCGTGTAGTAAAAAAATATAGTTGTAAGAGAGCCTAACAGTAACAAGTTTCCAGCAAACGAAAACGAAATGACGCCAGGTAATCTGTTAGCTATTTTATTTGTTCCACATAACGTTAGATGGTTATGGAGACTTAACTGTTTATAAAATAATCGCATGTTTATCATCGGCATATGTACCGTCGCAGCGACATTCTGTCTGAGTATTTATTAAAACTCTTCACTTTGAGGAGCTGTTTTTAATTATGTTAACTGTCATAAATCCATCTTAGAACTACTAACTTGCATGTCAGCACACTCATCGATGTGATAACATTGAAGATCATTGGTTTTACGAGATTTAATGAAGTAGAAAATTTCGCTTTTCAATAATAACTTTCTGTCGGTAAATTCGTCGATAAAAACGTATAAAAGCAGTGCAGATGAGAGATAACTACACAGAAATACAATTTCATAAAAATCTTTAATATGCTTCATTGTAGGCTGTGTACATAATGATAAAAAATCAAAATAGTTGTAAATTATAAAAATAAGACTTTATTGTACACTGAATTGCTAGAATTGACGATGTTATCCTTTTTCAGTTATTTCTGAGCTTCTCAAGCCTTCTTTGCCAATTCAAAAATTCATCCAATATTGATAGTTTTTAATAATATCTTGTCGGGGATTGCGGCATATAATTTGAGTATTCAAATATGCGCGCTTTTGGTATTTGGTTCAGTTCCGTTCCGTATCTCCACTGTGTTCGCGCGCTATCTGATTTTTCGGTTGCGCAACGCGCGAACGCAGTACGTCCGTGAAGTTGCGTGTGTGAGTGCAGTATGTACGCTATTCCCCGCGCGCTGTAATGGAGCGCCACGATTCGTGGGTGTACTATAGTGCGATGAATCGTTGAACAGGTATCGTGAGCGGTGCTTTTCATCGTGCGACAGTGCACCGACGTCAGTTTCGTCATTCAGATCGTTATTGAAGATTCCACTTCGCAACAAGCAGTAACTTGAAAAAAAGGGTAAGCTGCTGCAACAAGGCCGCCATCATCATCGTCGCTGCCGCCGACGACGACGACGACGTTAGCCAAACAAAATGGCCGCTCGATCGTCCTCGGTGGTACTGTTTACCCGTTAGGGGAACGTCGCAAGCGCGTTTATCGATTCCTCGTTACCGTGTTCACAGTGCATAATGCCAACGTGTGTCGTTTAGTCGATTGTTGCTGACCCGGATCGCTGACGCATCACTTCCAACATTTCATTTTTCGCAGGTAACAGTGCGACATCGTAGTACACTTGGCGGCTGTTGTAATTGTCGTCAACAGTGACCTGGAGCTTTTATGAGGGAACGTTATGTTCTATCGACACGACTGCATGTATTCTGAAGGTCTAAAGAGATATGCTTCCTCTGATTGAATCGACGAAATCTCTGGCAGCCTCCCGACCGTAGTTGTCTATTAGGTAGTCATAACCTTAATTGTACTCGGCTTTGTGTCGCGGGAAATTTTTCGCGGTACACCGTTCTGCCGGCATCGCTCACATTTTATACGACCGTATTGTTCGCTTTGTGCATCAGGTTGGAAAGATGTCGAGTTCATATATCGTTGAGCCGCAGGACAGTGGATCCGAGAAGAAAGACGATACATTGATCATTATTTTCAATGACGATGGAACAATAACTGTGGATCAGGAAACTCTGCAAAATTTGATAAGTAAGTGGTTACTGTAGAATTTGTGGAATGACTTGTGCAAGTAAATGATAAAGAAAATTAGAGATCAATTTAAAATTGTTATTGTAGCCATTGCTCCTGCTTCCTCTACAATCAATCAAAATAAGTAATTCATGTTCAGTGAGATACATGTTGCAAAGTCTTTTAATATTTTAGTGAATCAAACAAATGCTAATGTTAGCGTGGTAAGACTAGGACAAACTGAAGCAGATGTTGAAAACGGAGATATTACCTTCACTGTAGACCCACCATATACGCACCCGACAGCGAGCTCGGTAAGCGCCAATACCAGTACCGACCTTGGCGGGTTGGTAGATCCTTTTATGGAGATGGATCCAGAACAGCTGGAAAGATTAGAGACAGCTCTCCAAAGCGAAGAGGCAAAGCAGATACTCGGGGAGAATGTCACTGCAATGCTTGGTACTTTATATATTATTTTTTTTCGTTCAAACTATTTTTGTTTTTCCCTTATGTGATTGCAACGCTACATACAAGAGCATTTTGTTCTTATTAGCAGTGTTTGTAGAACTTCATCAACATCGATACACATGAACTCATGCAATTATACAAAACACATCTACTTCTCTGATGTGACCTAATGCAGTTTTAATACTAGGACTCTGTATCTGTCTTTGTAGATATGCTGTCTGTAGAGGAGTTGCAGAATTCGATAAGATATAGTATACAATTGGATCATTGTTATACAACTAGATTGTCACCTAGTGATCCAATACCAAGAGATCCATTACCGATTGCCGATTCGCCCGAATCTAATGATGTGCAGTACATACATCAACCATCATCCCCTCGAATATCAATGTCATCATCATCTATCAGTGATGTAGACAATGCTGGAGTTAAGGGCAAGAATATCATCAAGACTGTAAATGTAAAATTCTTATGACATTATAGATATCTAAATATTATTATCTCATAAGAAAGTCAATTAATTTGATAATATTATTCTCTCCATGGATATCAGGTGAAGCAGATCAGTAGACCAATACGTAAAGCTTCTGTATCTACACCTACAAATGTAAGTGCACTTCCAAGAGCTAATACAAATATCAGTGGAACGCCAAAATTACCAGGACATGCTATGCCAAGAAATATAATAAATGCTCAGCAAGCAACAACCAAAGGTATTATAATGTAACATAGTATTAAAGATAGTATTAGCGTTCTTATAAAAAACAATGTTGTTAATATTAATATGCAATACTCTTTCATGGTTATTTTTATAGCACAAAGCAAAAATAATGAAGAAGATGATGAATTCACAGAATCACCTACAGAATCTTCTGAATCAGAGCCATCTTCTGATAATGATAATGATTCAGATTTTGGACCTCGTAGTACAAAGAGAGGAAACATCAGGGCTCGAGGTGGACGTAAAGGTCTTACTACTAGGGGTGGTAGTATGGCAGCTGCTCGAAGAAGAGGTCAAAATAAATATATGGATATAGAGCAAGTGCGACGGTTAGACATGGAAATGGCTGCTGCAGTTAATGCGATGAAAGGTTCTGAGAAAGATGATAGATCTGGTTAGTAAAACATTCATGTATAGTATGTAAAAAAATATTAGGTAAAATTTTAGGGATATATTATATTTATTAATCAAAGTTTAATATGTAATAGATTGAAAGATATTGCAATATTTTTAAAGTAATTTTGCATTTGAAAGTAAAAATATTTAAAAATACTTGTATTAGCACATGTTATATATATGACAGTATATTTTTTTATACTTTCAGAGCGGTTTAGCCCTAGCAAACCTAAGAGGCTGATCAAAACTTTTGGTGGCAAGAAGAAGGAGGAGATGCAGTTTGCAGAAACATCTTCGTCTGTGTCCGAAGAGATGCCGATAGTGCAAGAGAAACCTTTACAAACGACAAATCAAGTGAAAGCAAATCTGATCAACGCCAATATGATTAAGGGTGACATGATATTAACTAAACCCGGTCAAGGAAGAAGCACTCAGAAGGTTACTTTCATTCAGAAGCAAGTTTTGATGAAACCGGACGAGTTGAAGAACATCGGTATTAAGAAGTCCATAATGGTCTCTAAAACAAAATTCGTAAATTCACCAAATGCAAAAATTTTCACGACTAAAGATGGGAAATTGATACAAGTACCAATGGCGTCGAAAATGGTTAATCCGAATATGCAGGTTACTACACAGGTGAAGACTGTGCCAACACAACAACCTGTGACAACGCAACAACAACCTGTACAGAGCACTAACCAAGGGTTACTGGCGCAGCATCAATTGAAAACTGCTGTATCGGTCAGTAGCACACCGCCAAAGATCAAACCTAGCGATGTAAAGAAAGAGAAGAGGAAATTGGACGGTAGCACGGAATCACTGTCAAAGGCAGAAGAGACTGCTCCTGTAAAACTTGCAGACAAGACCTTAGAGAGTTAGTGTCAATCATTTATTAGCTAATTAATAACAAAGATTGAATTGCATTTCTAAATGTCGAAATATACTTTTGCAGGCACGAAAAAATATTTTAAGAAGGAAAGTAGAAAACCTTCGGCGTATGTAGCAGATACTCTAGGTCCTGCGCTTTTTTCGACACCAGACATAATACGACGTGTTGGTACGAGCGAGGGAAAAACACCGGACAGTGCTGTAACACCCACGACTCCCACAACACCCACGACACCGTTGGCGACTGCAGCATCTGTACCCGGGTCGTCAATTGTTTCTACTTCGCCAACAATGAACATCGGCACAACTCCTGGTTCGGTCGTAGCACAGAATGCTGTATCCAGTCTTAGTAATAAAAAGACGGTGTCAAATTTAGAACCGTCTGTTCAACCAGAATCACGATTAAATCTGGACGGTAACAACGTAGCGTCGGAAAACGAGGACGAAGCGAAATCAGCAGTCAAAGCACCTCTGGCTGAAGAATTGCAACCATCTCTAGATTCAGGTATGATTATACATTAAGGAATTCATATTGTTTCTTCCAGTATTGATCCTTGTACCTTTATATATGCAAATATTTTATAGAGGAAACTATTGTCTGTTTTTATTTAATTTTACAATTTTATTTAATTGTATAATTTTAGCGTGCCTATGTAGAACCTTCTGTCTATGATTATTGTTCTCTATTGTATTATTTTGTTTTATTAAATTAAAAACAAAAAGAATGACGCATCGTGCCGCTCTAATAACGTTCTCAACTAAACCAAGATCCTTTCCATCTGCATTTTCTTTTTATATTATTTTATATTACCAAGGGAGTTTTTAACACAATGTATGCCATGTGAAATTTATGTTTTGCAATGCTATCGTATGTTTCCTTAGTGCCAAATACCGCTTCGTCAGAGGGAATTATTCAACCTGTGGTACCTCATGTTCCAAATCATGTTGTTTCTAAAAGTAGTAAGTTCTCACTCACACTTATATTGTACCGAAGAAAATATGGCTTACTTATGATGCTGACTTACAATTTAAATCTAAACTCTCTGGTTTTGTCCTTTCCACTATGTTTATATTTTAATATGTAATACTATTGAGTGTAACTTATGTGCTTGTTAAAGGTGGGATAGAGGGTGAGGAGCATTTATTCGCTACTCTAGAGATGGCCAGTAAAAACGAAGAAGAACTGCTCGCCGAAGCGTTATTACTGCACGAGGAGCTTGGAGTTGACTTGGCTGATCATGTGCGAACTTTTTATTTATATATATTATATAAATACACACACGCACACACATATACACACATACATACATACATAGACTTCACTACAATTCTTTAGGATTCTCATTCTTATTATATTATCTTGTATGTAGTCTGCACTGGATCCCGCACCAACAGTGTCAGAACCGTTAACATCCAGTGGTATACTTATGCCTACATTGATTTCACCCGACCAAGAATTACCCAAACCAGTGGAAGCAGCGCCAGTTGTACAGACCCAAGCGAATATTCCGCGAGAAGTAGGCAAAAAATCTACAAAAGATGACAAAGAACCGATACAAATCGTTCGGGGTGGTCGTGTGATCACATTACCGCCCATTGAAGCACCTGCTACTAGAAGTAAACGGCTGCAAGCGAAAGCTGAGACGCAGCAGAAGAATCCCGAACCAGCAAAGAAGATAGAGAAACTTACGTGAGTATATTATGATGTAATTTTATGGTTATATCTCTTGTTTCTTTTAAGTAATGTAGTCGTGACTTAATTCAATTCTTTTTATATTGACACAGTCCTCAAATTCAACAAGTAATACACAAAGAAGAGTTACGAACGGGGGTTAATGCAGAAGAAGACGATGATGATGACGACGAAGAGGAGGAAAATTCAGATTCGGAAGACGATCCAGACCGCTTATGGTGCATCTGCAAACGGCCACATAACAATCGGTTCATGATATGTTGTGATGCTTGCGAAGATTGGTTCCATGGGAAATGCGTACACGTCAGTAAAGCCATGGGTAAGTATTCTAGAATTTAGATCTAAGTCGATAAAAGTCGTTCTACATCAGTCGCAAAGTCGATCGCAAGTAGATGTTATGCTTGTTATAAAAATCTACAATCAGAAGCGTTAGTGGTATTATTGATGTTTTTAATCAGTTGTCGCGACAAGCATTGTGTCTACTTGTGATCGATTTTACGATGTAGAACGACTTTAAATCAACAAGATTAGACATTTACTTTTTGCAATGCCCATGATTCACATATTTATATTTTGGCAGGTCAACAAATGGAAGAAAAAGGTATAGAATGGGTTTGTCCGAATTGTCTCAAGAAGAAAGCTGATGAAGAAAAAGGAAAATCAAGTTCACAAACCTCACCTGTGAAACAGAAAACAAAAGTCGAGTCAACAAGCGATAATACGGTATCGCAGACTGTTTTACCGAAAGAGATACCACCGACAGTCTCGTCTGCCGATCATACTGTTGTCCCAATTTCTGGCACGATGCAGTGTGTCGTTTGTAAAAAGGAAGCCAGAAATTCGAGCATTTATTGTTCGGATGCATGCATTCTTGCTCATGCCCAAGAGACTTTGACGAAAGATAAACCTGTACCAACAGGATCAGGTACAAAACCTGTTAAATCACCTGTAACTCCGGAAACTATCGTGAAAACAAAACCCGAGGCTAGAGTGATAGTTTTCGACAAGAAGACTGGCAAAGTTCTCACTGGTAAACATATTTAATTTATAAAGATTGTAGAAGAACATATGTCTCTCTCTCTCTCCCTCCTTCCCTCCCTCCCTCCCTCTCTCCTTTCTCTCTCTCCTCTCTCTCTCTCTCTCTCTCTCTCTCTCTCTTTCTGTTTCTACATACGTATATGTGTATAAATCATCAATATTTTATATTTAGGTGCGGAAGCTCCTACAAGATCTAACTTACGAACATGGCTGAAAGAAAATTCGACATACGAGGTAGTAGGAGCCAGCAGTCTCAATACGCTTCAAATAGGCGGGAAGCTCGTCACGCAAATACACACAACAGGCAAAACTGTATGTATAAAGTAAAAGGATTAATTGAATTGTTATAAGCATTGGTGAAGAATATGTGAAATATATATACTATGTACTAAAATTGTAACATGAGAAAAAATTATCAAATATTGAGAAGTATAAACAGTTATAACAAAAATTCGTTTTAAATTTTTGTAGGGAATTTTGTATAGAGCTGTAACATTATGTTTACTTATTTTATTTTTTATAATCAATTCAAAATATAAATTTTAGAGATATATGCTTAGAATTCTTTAATGCAGCAATAATTATTTAGATAAACTTCCAGATTAACTACGCTTATCAATGTGTGCTTAAGTAAGCAAATTAAATGCGAATTCTGTTTTTAGGCAAAAATTACACAACTGTCTCCGGTTAAAGTGCAAACCGTGCCAAAGATGATTTACACGAAGGTAGCTGGATCAAAGCAAACCATTTTGACATCCAATAAGAAAGTCACGATAATTCCAGCTATGCAACAAGTGAGCGCAACGTCAACTAACAAACCGGCACAATTAAAACAGACAATAATTGCGACTTCGGGCAAGAATCCTGTGATACTGAAAACAGCATCACCAAAAACCGTCACACCAACACAGTTAAAGATCCAGACGACAAGTTCGCCGAAGCAGACTGTAATCAAGAAGCAAGAACCTGTGAAGTCGATACCGTCTCAGTTGAAGCAACCGATTAAAGTGACGCCAGTAAAGAAGCCTGAGACGGAACCCATACGAGTAAATATCCGCAAAACGCTGACGGAATTACTGTCGAGTCGTATAAAGGAAACTGAAGATCTGAAGCTAACCGACGAGGAGATCGCGGACTTAGCATTCAACATAGAACTTGAAATGTACAAGTACTTTAAAGACATGGGATCTAAGTACAAGGCAAAGTATAGGAGTCTCGTGTTCAATATAAAGGATACCAAAAATCTGACGTTGTTCCGAAAGATCGCAGATCGTTCCTTAACACCGGATGCTGTGGTGCGATTAAGCCCAGATGAGATGGCTAGTCAAGAACTGGCGGAATGGCGGGAGAAGGAGACCAAGCATCAACTGGAGATGATTAAGAAAAACGAGCTGGATCTGATGGCGCAGGCGAAATCAATCGTCGTGAAAACTCACAAGGGCGAGCAAATAATCGAAAATGATGGTGGAATCGATCATGTTGATCCTAAGACGTCGGTACAGGATATTGTCACTGCGTTAAATAGCGGTGATAACATAAGTTCCACGGTTGATGATATGGATAAGGATAAGGACAAAGAAGATAGATCAAAGTCACGAACAGATGCAAAGAAATCGAAGAATAGCATGGACGAACGAAGGAAAAGGGATAAGGAGAGAGGCAGAGAACATGACAATAGGTCAAAGGGCAAGGATCGAAGGGAGAGAAGTCGAAGCCGGCATCGCCACAGCAGAGATAGAGATCGCAGTAAGACACGCGACAAAAGTAAAGAGCGAAAGTCGAGCAGAAATAAGGAGAGCAGACGGGAGAAAGACAAGGAACGTGAAAAGGATAAGGATCGGGAACGGAATAAGGATCGGGACAAGATGAACAGGAAAGAGAGCAAAGATAGAAGCCGACAAAACGAAAGAGACAGGCACAAATCGAGCAATGATGGCCGCTCAAGAAATCGTAGTACAAGCAGAGAACCTAAAGACCTTGATAATAGGGAGGAGGAGCGAAAGATAGAAAAGAAGAAAGAAGTCTCGCCACCGCCTACAGAGAAGCCGATAGAGGATCGTCTTTGGCGACACGTGGAAGACGAAGCGACGACAAATACGATCGATGGAAACGATTCCGACATATCCGATAGAGAACCCAGTTCCACCGTAACGATTAAGACTCCGGACATTAACGAGGAACCTGAGAGAGACAAGGAACAGGAGACAGAAATCAGAACGGAACTATCAAAAGGCATCTCTCAGACTGTGTGGCGTGGCTTTGTTAGCATGGTCGATGTCGCCAAGTTCTTCATCACCGCGCAGGATGTGAGTGGCAACGCCAAAGATCTAATGGATGATTTACCTGATACTGTCGACGTAGTTGGTCGGATAAGTCACGATACTGTTTGGGATTATATCTCGAAGATGAAGAGAACAGGCTCAAAGGAGATTCTAGTTATCCGATTAATTGCTGCAAATGACGAAGAAAAAATACCCTACATCACCTTATATAGTTATTTGAACAGTAGAAGCCGTTTGGGTGTTGTAGGCAATGTTTCCAAGAATATAAAGGACTTCTATATTATGCCGTTTTCGAGCCAGAGCACGATACCATCGGTACTTTTACCACTCATTGGACCAGGTTTCGAGGAACATCGACCACATTTGTTGCTTGGCATTATCGTTCGCAACAGAAAGAAACGGGTATCGACTATAACATCGAGCGTATTGTCGAAGACATCCAAAAAGGAAAATTCTGACAGAAGTTACACATCGCCGTTGGTCAGCATGCCGAAGGAGAAAACCTCGTCGCCGCCGCCATCGTCGTCGTCGTCTCCCATGCTGTACCATCACAAAGTGTCTTCTGCTTTAGATTCCACGAAGGAGAAACCAGCGACAACAGTGACACAGGTGACTTTGGAATCTCTAAACAAAGCGCATATAGGTATGTCTTCGCGTGGCATCATCGATAGCGCCACCATATGTAAAATTGTGCCGGAACTGTCGTCGAAGATCGACTTGACTTCTTCGCCCAGCAAGGTTACTTTGGATGACGGCGACGAGCCGTACAGTCCTGGCGAGATGGACGATGACATAAATACCAACAATTCCACTGCTGATATTCTCTCATCCGGCAAGAATAATAACTCGACGGAACTACAGAGAAAGATGGACGAACTGAATCGACAGATCGAGGAACAGAAACAACAGATACAGAACATTAGCTCGTCGTTTCTCGGTGAGACGACGGCCACTCTGCCGGTGAGAATTTTCGCAAGACTCCTTTTTCACGTCGCACGTCTCGAGATTGTTATTACTGTCGTTTCCTCTTATTGTTTTACTACAAATAAAGTTGATTTGAAGTTATCCCACCATCCCGATCCTGCGTCACTGAGCTACTTAGATTATTACTAAGAGAACGTGGTCTTTAAGGAATATCCGGTGAACGCGATGGTCGATTCGAAATTAGATATTTTACAACGAGAGTAAGAAAACTAAGTTGTTATTTATATGTCATAGTATATGCAGCTGGATGTAAATAAATAATTTTTCTACAATAAGGAGACTGTGATAACAGCAAAATCGCGGTTTCGGAATAGAATAAACGATAAGAGTCTCTTAGAACCTTACTGTCTTTTCTATTTTTACTGTCGTTTTCTAACTCGTTTTATTGCTTTAAACTGATAACATTCGTGTACGATTGCGAGAAGCAATATTATATATATTGCTTTCGTAAATATGTAGAGTACAGAGTGCGGTATCAATTACTAAACCAATATATATACACATTGAGCGTTTCAAATTATGTATCAGTTAACCGCTTGTTCATCGAAGTAGGAATCTCAGTAGCTCCGTTTCCCTTCTGTCATTGACTCTATTCTGAGGTATAATCGAAAAATATTCAATATCAAATTTGTGAATTTCACGCGAGATCTGACACGTTTGATAAATTCAATCTTTAATTATAAATGTAATATGACACTTATATGTTATTGTCTTACCTTTTCGGATAATATTACATCGAAAAAACCTGAGAATTCAAAGATAATACGTTTGTATTTCATTAATTAATCGCGCGCGAGACAGCGAAGGCTATGATTTGACTTCTATTGACAATTGATTGATATTATAAGACTTCATTGATATCTCTCATCGCTACATCTACACGCTGTTTCAGGGTTTGGGATTGGATCCACCGAGCAACGACTGTGACGAAGCTTACAGTCCGTCGGATGTACGTTCCTTCACGCCGCCTCCGCCCATCTCCAAGTTCACACAACCTATCCTCGATAAGGTCTCGGACATTACAATACCGCCAAATCTGCAGGAGATTTTAGCAAACGTGAAGCGGCAAGAATCTTCCAAAGTGGATCCCTATCTACCGTCTAAGCCTAGCGCGTCGTTTCTACCTGGAACAGTCAACACCGTAGGATCGTTCTATCAGAATACGGAAAGGTACTCACCATCTTCATCTTCCAGAATCAGTCAGTCAGAGAAAATAACGCCGGAGGCCCCGTCGAAGGAGACCAAGAGTACGTTGAGCACCTTGAGCGACTTGGACTTGATCAAAAAAGCAGAGGAAGAGTTGGCTGCAGTTGCTGCGGCGACAGCGGCTGCGACATCGACGATTCCCATGGCGCCTGTACCACCGCCGTCGACTTTGATCACTTCTGCTAGTACTTCGAGTCTTGCTATAACATCAATCGCCCCAATAAGCGACACGTCTATATTGACGTCGCAACAGCCGGTACTCTCATCGTTGCCACTTCCGTCGGAAGCCGAAGGGGGTAAAGCGGTGTACAAACCGAGCGCTCCGGACTCTCTCAAGAAAAGTTACACTCCCGAACAACCGAAGCCGCCTGGTCTCGAGGACGAGGACTTTCCCATGTTTCCTTCAACTCCGCCGTCGACGACTATAGATGCGACTAAAACTGCAGCGAATGTGTCACCTCGCACGAAACTCGCCCCTAAAAGCGGCGTTGTGCTGAGTGTCAAACGAAAGGCGAGCGATGATGGTAACGCGTGTCTCTCTCCTTCCAAATCGTCGAGGACAAAGTCGCGCTGGGGTCAAGGGCCGTCCGAATAGATCGGGCGAATCGTTGCGACGATTATTGTGTCTCCGTATACATATATACATACATAGTGTTCCACGTGCGCTGTTTAACAATCGCAGAACAAAAGAACGAGTGGATGCTCGATGTAATTTGTAACATAAATGTACAAGAAGCTCGTAATATTAGGAACGTTTGGAGGCTTCGCTCGAACGATTATTTTGTGTGTATTGAGGAAAGGAGAGTGTGTGAGAAAAAGCAAGAGGCATGAGAAAAGTCGTGTAATCAATGATGCCGAGTCGTTACTGTGTGGTATTTGTGTGTATTGAGTAATGAACAAATGTTTATTAAGATTCGTTATCTTTCGAACGCGTCTCTGAGAAACGTACGTTATGAGCTTTCGGTGATTATTGGAACATTGGAATATGTAGATATATATAAGAGCTTCTTTATTACTGATTCTCTTTATAAGAAAGAAAACGTGGTACGTTACACATGCGTCGCAGTGCGATTTGTACAAGAGCTGTTAAAGAGAGAGAGAAAGAGAGCCCTCATGTCATCCTATTTCCGGCCCATCTCTCTATCCACCGTAGCATTTGATTGCTGCGAATTTTCTACGAAAATTACTTGCGACAAAATGGTGTGTATTTCCCGGGACTTGTTTTCCATCTTCCAAAGCTCGAAATTTTGTGAGTAAATATATTTCCTCCCTTTCAGCGAGAGATATCAAGTAAATTTCACGTAGGTAAGTTGGGAAATTTATCTAATGATAAACGCGGAGATGTTTTCTAATGCTGGTGGTACGATCGCAGATTGTGTAGCAGCGTTATCAATGTGTATTGCTGTAGAAACTGTGTAGACGAGCGTGAAAACTGGCAGACATTGCTTTATTTTCACGTGCGCATGCGCTGGATTGTTTATCATCATCCGCGCGCGCGTTATCCTTGTAAATACCAAAGCAAAGGGTGAATAAAAAGAAAGAAACTCAGCGTTTATAATCGTGTTCGACACGCGATGTCTCATGTAACGGGTATGTATATGTATATATATAAGCGAGTCGAAAAGTCTCTGTAATATATTTTATTAAAGACTCTTTGCCTCTCTTCGTCAGAATGATCAGCTGAGACTTTTACGTGAAGTCAGATTCACTTTAAAGCCCAAATTCACAACTTTGTTTTTGAGTAGACGTTCATTTTTCAGAGATGGCAATATTGTGAAGAATAGCAGAAATATCAGTTAATTGACCCGAGAGGAGTAAGATCAAGCAACGATACCGTTTACGCAAATGTAAACTATTTTGTCTATTTGAAATTCAGTTGCTTTGCGACACGACTCTACTCTTTAATTTCCTGTTGAGATGCGACAAGTTGTGCATCAGGGGAGTACGTCAGCTTTTTAAAGTATTCGACACATAAACAGTTTGGTTGTTAATTATATATAATGATTCGTACATATGTGGTTAATGTTGGATGCGCATAAACTCGACGTACATCCCGTATACATATAACATATTTACTAGCTGTACATTTATTTTTCTCTTCCATAACGCAAGAATTTCATCGAGCTACTGGGACACGAACATTATTATTCGGAGCGTTTAACTGTATACAATTTTTTTGTGAACGAGCGTAGTGTATAGTTGCGAAAATCAAAATTATCTTAATCTCATTTTAGATAATCTGTAATTTGTGACAGAACGTTAAGTAAAATTTTATTTTTTAGGAAAAGTTTAAAGAACCAAGTATATATGTATGTAATTTCAATTTTTTAAATCTCTCTCTTTTGTATTATAACATGCATAAAATCACAATATTTTATTCCAGGTACTGTCGCAACTTGCGGATCGTCTAACGTAAAGTTTGATTTAATTTCTTTGTTCATAGTTTTTCTTTATCAGTTTTCTAGAGTTTAATGTTTATTGGTGACAAAACCGTTTGCATTGTCAAATTTGTATGACATCATATGATTTTCTCTAAAAGCTTTATTTTTCGACTGCCGTGATGTACGTATGATCTATAATCTTTTTCATTCCTGAGAAAATTTGGAAAAATGATTTTATAAAATATTTTCATTGATATGGTGATTCTATTGTGATGCAAACGAGTTTTGCTTCCATTTCTACGTTCTCGCACCTTGTGTTTCGAGAAGAAAAACACATAGCGCACGTTTGACATGTTTTTATATCCTTTGTACGCTCTCACGTATATTTCTTCCATCTCGTTATCGATTAGTGAAATACAACATATAGCGTATATCCGCAAAGCAATCGATAACAGTAGTTGACGTTTGCCTATAAGTAATTTTTTAATATCGCAATTGCCGCGAGAATCATATTGTCTATGTAAAATAGTTGTGAACATCTGTGTTTGAAAATCACACACGAAGACGCTCTTACATTTTTATATATAACCGAAGAACGTAGAGGAAAGAACTGAATTTTTATTTGTGGTTTATCAGACTATATATATAATTTATATATGATAGTGCTGAGTTAATTTAGCAATCTAATTTTAAACGTGACTAACGAGCGTCACTATAATCTCCAACATACTACAATGGGATTGCATAAGTTTGTAGGACACATTTATTATATCTACGTTTAAGGATCATTTTGTAAGAATTAGCCGTTTTACTTTTCTCGTGCACTTTTGTACCGCGATCTTCGGGTGATATGACGCAACAATTTATTATTATGTATTATTAATATTAGTCTCAATCATAAAAGTTATCACGTATATGTATATGCAACTGTTGATTTGTTTAATTGTGTCTTCTCTCTTGGTGCTTGAACGATAGTACATACGTATTTTACGCGAGAGTATCCATCTACACTAATCACGGAACGTATTGCGCGATACACACACATTACAAAAAATTTATAACAATTTTATAATTGCGCGATTGCACACAATAGCTGCATTTAGCGATTAACTGGCGAATGTCTATAATAAAGAATTAAGGAATAATACCGTTTCTTGTTAGCTCCCAACATTACAGATTATCTATCTAGCGATTTTATGTTCTCAGCGATATGATGCTCTCAGAGTGATATTAAAAAGT